AAAAAAAAAAAAAAAAAAAACCCAACCAAACACAAATTTCCTTACTTTGTGCTGAGTTGGAGTCAGTATTACTGAATTACACAGCACAACACAAAAATGAAAGCATGTTTAAAACTAACAAATAAATAGCATCAGCCACATTTTAGTGGGTGGCCAAAAATACTGACCTTTATATTTTACTAAAAAGTTATTTTTAAGCACTTCAATGCATATAAAAATATTAAATCTTATTCTATGACTCAACATCACTGTGAAGATAGTGGTAAATTATTAACTAATGTCACAGTACATTTTTAATGAGGTCTTCTCTATATAAGCGTTTGAGACCTTTTGTCTCCTCTTATAACTAAGTTGATTGTCTAAGAAATAAACCCAAAGCCATCAAATATCAAGTTTATCCAGGCTTCACAGGCAGGAGACACTTACTTGCGTTCACAGGGACACTTAGGACYATACCAAACGAAATTAACGTTGGGTATGTTATTGCGACGCCAAAGTTCACCAGGACGTTGAAAGCTGTGGGGGAGAAACACAATCAGAGCAGTGGCAAGTCGCACAACAGGAAAGTTAAAATGTTTGTTCTCTGCACAACCAGAGCCTGCATGGACTGTGAAACAAAACTGCTTCGAATAACATCTTCGTTTACCAAAAAGCAAGGCCGCGACCCCACACAGGTACGCCCAGGGGAGGTCTTCAAGTGAGCCGATGTACTCCACGTGTGTGAAATACAAGATGACTGGCACGAAGCTGATGAAAACAAAGTTGGCGCTTCCGACGATGCTCAGGAAGAGCGCTGCCTCTCCGAATTTGGCACTGCCCAGCACCATCTTGAAGAGCACCTGGGGATAAAGGAGAAAGGAGATGGATGGATGTGGAAAAATCCCCCCCACCTACAAAGTTGAGGGTTATTATACGAGCCAAGTACCTCGTATATCCCTGGCTCGTGGCCGCTGCTGTCTGTTTATCACATTAGGTAGAAAAGACAGCAGGGCAGGGGAGAACAAACCCTGTCAAAGTTTGGCTATTTGCCTCCTTTGATCTGGATCTTCCCACTTAAATCCACCAGTCTAATTCATACATATAATAAAACACACCTCTGTCAGCTGCAGCTTCCATTTCATCACTCTCTCCTTTCTTCTTTCACCTGATTACATAACAAGAACCAAGCTGGTCCCGTATCTCTTATATAAGTTGAGAATATTCATACATTTATGCATGTTTGGCTTTTATGAACATGATTCACTGTGGCTGAAAGCCAACAATGCCACATTGTGTTTAGTGATGATGTGTTTTTTTTTTCTTTGATGAAAAGGTGACAAATACCTTGTAGAGTGCTGACATTGAAGCAGAGGCCACAACCAAAGTAATGCCAATGACAGAGTGGCTGTGAAATCCATCAGCGTAGGTCATCATGACGATGCCTGCTATGGCCAAGATAGCTGCTACTATCTGTGGAGAGACAGAGCATCGGTGAGTGATGGATGGGCGACCCGCTGCTCGCAGTCTGGTCATTAAGGCGCTAAGTCCTTTCCTACTGCATGGGGCCACAGCAGGCTCACCTGACCTCCATTTTTTTTTCTTTTTTTCAAAGTCATGACAACGAACCACCCAGCAATAAAGATTGTAAGTTAGCTCATTCGGGATTCGCATTTTCTCAAACGCTTCATGGGAAATCCGCTCTCAGATTTTACAGTTCAACTGCTTCCTATGAGGTGCCGTTTGTAAAGTTACACAGTCAAAAATTACCACCAATATTTTTGTTTTATTTAGCCTTTTATAAGAAAAAAAGGACAGATTTATTTTTCAAAGTCAGTTTCATAGTTTATAAACTAATATTTAACTTACAAATTAAGTATTCAGTTAACAAGCTAAATATTTAACTTGTGGCTTAAATATTTAGTTTTGAGCTAAATATTTAGGTTGCAACTTAAATATTTACCTAGCTACCTAAATATTTAGCTTAAATATTTAGCTGGCTACCTAAATATTTAAGCTGCAACCAAAATATTTAGGTAGCTGGCTAAATATTTAAGTTGCAACCTAAATACTTAGGTAGCTGGCTAAATATTTAAGTTGCAAGCTAAATATTTAGCTAGCTACCTAAATATTTAAGTTGCAACCTAAATATTTAGGTAGCTGGCTAAATATTTAAGTTGCAAGCTAAATATTTAAGTTGCAACCTAAATATTTAGGTAGCTACGTAAATAAGTTGCTAGCTACATATTTAGCTCAAAACTAAGTATTTAAGTCGCAAGTTACTGTAAATATTTAGTTAAAAAACTATGACGTTTATAAATATATGAATCATATGGTGAAAAACTGACTTTGAAAAATAAATCTGTTCTTTTTTTCTTATAAAAGGCTAAATAAAACAAAAATATTGGTGGTAATTTTTGACTGTGTAACTTTACAAACGGCACCCCATAGCTTTTGCCACGGGACGGGCCATTTGGCTTGATTGTCTGACATTGATTTCTGTTACGGTGCCATCATGTTTACAAAACCAAACATCCCATCTTGATCCAGCAGCCCCGACTTATCACTCCCACTCCCTGCCTGAGCGATTATCATGGCTCCGAGACGACACCCGATCATCCGTTCCATCCTGGACCTGGATGCATTAAAACCAAAGCGGTCGCTTGTTCCTCTCATGTGTTTGTCTGTGCGTGTACCGCACATGAACGGAGGAGGGGTTTGGCTGATAGCGAGGAGTGCGTGAAGCCGTCCAGCTGAGTGGATTAGCTCTGCATTAAAGAGGTGTCAAGAAGATAAATGAGCAGTGCTTTGTTTTGTTTTTTTTAAGCTTGGCCAAAGCCCCGAGACACTTTTGGCAAAATTGCTCTTTCTGCACTGCAGGCTGCCTGTCAATCACACCTACATCCCTCCATTCCAATGAACACAGTTTGCTTGCAGGACCACCAACAATGAGAAACGCTTCAGAACAGCAGGAGTGTTGAAACTTTTTCCAAATGAGGTGCAAACTGTTTGGGACAAACCTGCCTGCTGAAAAACCCCATGTGAAAACAGTGGCATTATTTTAGTATTGCCATTTAACACCACCAAAAATACCCCATAAATCTAAATGACAACCAAAAGGCCCCCCTGGAAGTTTTATATTACAGTCTGAGTAACACTGTATCACTTTGCTGCTGCACTAAACTGACCCAATAAAGTACACACCTATAGCGTTTCAAACACAATAACACCAAAACACCCCTCGTGCCTGTTTATTGGGCGTTTCGCCTCTTCTGTATTTTTCCCTTTCTTCTTTCTGCTTTCATGGAAATCTCATTTAAGATCCCCRGCATTGCCGCAGACTTCCAAATACTGCAGTCCTCGCCGCCAAGCATCGGAGCGAGTGACAGGTCTTACAAGAGGCAGAAAGACGCAGCGTTTTTACGGTGGCTGTCGCTTACTGAAGCTTTTCATTACAAATAGTTGGGGTGGGGAGCCGGGGCACGCACAAGGGAGCGATATGAGCAGGGGGGCTGTCAGCATGTGGACGAATGAAGAGGAAATCCATTCTGCAGAGCGCAGAACGGCTGTAGACGTGAAAGCGTGAGTTGGGAGGAGGAGGAGCTTGGTRTGGAGACCTCACCTCTCTGTCTCTTCTTGTCCAGGAACAACATGATTGATTGACACATGATCACGGGGGGGTGAACACACAGACTGTCACGCAGACAAACCGCTCTCTATTCCTGCGTGAGTAACTCACACAATCAAACTAAATCAACTCAGAGCTTCACAAATGGTTRGCATGTTGTGCTATGAACACTTTTGCAGGGTGAGTGAAGGGGCAYCATTGTATTTCACATCTAAACATAGGAGCTTTAGTGAAAATACATTACACTCGTTTTGTTTAAAGCAAAGAGAGGCACAGCCAGACACCTTTAGGCAGGTAATCYGGTCATGGCATGGTGTGAATACTGCGAAAGTAAACAGCAAAAGGCTAAATTGTTCTTTTTTTCTTAGTCGGATCACAGCATAAACCCAGTGGGGTTGAAGRTGTTTTATTTATTCAATCGTCTTGTGTTTTCTGTAAAGCCTGGTTRGCACGGCAAGATTCTAAAATTGTCGATTACTTTTGAAAACCTGAGAGACCCCATACATGAAGATAAAAAAAATAATCATAGATATAACAGGTTTGGTCCAAGAGTTTGTGCTGTACTGCCACACGGCAAAATACAACACACCACATATGAACAAATTTCACTCACAAACGTTTAATTGTCCAAATTAAACATGGGTTCAGAGTAAATAAACATGGCTGACGAAAGTGATGATGATAGTTTTTGGACTATTTTTAACAGAGAGAAAACAAAATGACATCTCCAGTGTCCAACAGACTTTTTGATTGGCTGCATGTCACATTCAACAAGCTTCAACGGGTTTGTTTGTCCTGACACTACAAACGCTGGGATGTCGGACCAAGTCAATGTTAAATATCCCCGATTTGAGGTTAAAGCGGTCCTAACATCCTTCTGAGACAGTCAGATTATGCACACACCACATACAGCAGGAGTACCGGCAAGGATTTTCTTTGGAGATAATCGGGGTGTCCCAAAGATTGTCAAAAAGGGTAAAATCAGGTCAAATAGCAGCATTATTATCTCGCTGTGTGAACCAGGTATTAGATATATCATATTTCTGTAGCACTTGTTTTCAAAGAACTCGATCGTCCGCACAGTATCCATAAAGTACCAGATTCATAAAGTCTGACCCCGCAAGGAAGCAGATGGAGTTGCTGTAGTGTCCAAGAGTGGGGGCTCTTCTCAGGAATGCACAGATGTGATGTCTCTTGGTTTTCCAGCTTCAGAGCTCGGCACATATTACCATATTAGGAAGAAGGTATACCGTGACAAAATTTATGGTAGATCTGTGAAGCCTATAAAGAGCCTTGTATGCCCCCACCCTTGGCCTTCGTTCTCCATCTTTCTTACTTGGTGAATCATTTGGCATTGAAGGCCGTAATTTGGTTTTTGGCTGTAATCTCCTGGACTGCAAAATAAAGATTCTTGCTGTTCAACCAGCCTGTTTCAGAGTTCTCTCTTCATTGAACAACAGCAGTTCCATTTGAACCAGAAGACGTGGTTATTTCACCTCATTGCTTTTCATGACCCAAGCAGGTCTTATCGTGGCTGATGTTGCCATACCAGTCTTTGGTGGTGACTTCCTAGAGCTGGGCTATTCAACAAAACTGCTCTGGGGGGCCAAAGTTACTGCAGACCAATAGCTGAGGGGCCAAACATCCAGCAATTAGTCATTATGTAAATAAACTAAGTATTAAAAAGATCTGTTACCTTTGAAATAGTTTATTTTGCTGCATTAAATCATGAATACAACATACAGAACCCTATAATAAAAGCAGTAATAAAACAACAAAAACAAAAATAACACATTATGCCTCTTATTTACCACAAATAATATTTGGACATCCCCGACTTGCCAAATTGTTAAACCAATTTTATTTTCAGCTTCATAGTTTTATCTTCACCTGCTTAAAGTTTTAACTGTCTTGGGTGTTCACTGAAATGGTTTTTACCAGCTTGTAGCCAAGATTCTAACTTTTCTGTAGGTATCAAACATGTCTATGTTTAACTAAAAGAACTTAAAACTGGGGGTTTGGGCTTAAGAGATGAATGAACCAATTGGCGGGCCGAACTTTGGTCATTTGCGGGACGGATGTGGTCCCCAAGCCYCCAGTTGCATAGCCCTGTCCTAGAGGTTAGTTTTGCTTGTTCCCATCAGGTCAATGTCACCAGTGAAGCAAAGGCTGCAGCGGGATCTTCCTTCTGGAAGTTTAGTGGTGCTATTTGCATGGTGTTTTCCAAGAAGATGTAAAATATTACAGGGAAGAGGAGGCAGCTTTGATGGACAAGCTACACATTTCTCCCTTATGTTGCTCCTACAGGAGTTAGAATCCTGGCAAAGTTTACAAAATGCTTCTCTTTTTTTTCTGAAGCAGAAAAAATTTGCATGAACATTTGGCATGAACACTTGCAGCGACTCACCCTGACTCCCATGAAGCGGTCTCTGAGTACAATCCAGGATAGCAGAAAGACAAAGGCTTTGTTGCAACAGAACAGCGCTGACACGTCTGTCGTGTTGATCTTCCTGAGGGCCTGCAGGTACAGGTAGTTAGTGAGGATCCACAGCAGGCCAAAMGGAGCCACCTTGGTAAAAAACACCTTGGGTGTCAATCCGTCATCCCCGAAAAACCTGCAACACTCCCTGTGTGCCAAAGTACAACAAAGAGCACAGAACTGGTTTTAGATGTGTGCTATATTTTAAAAACTAACCGTGATTTATCATCATAAACAGGTTTCTTATTTCAACCATTACATCTAAATGATTTTTTTTGCTCCCACATTCCAGTTCTGCAGGGAGAAATTAGTAAATACTTACAAAGAAATCTGCTGCGAGGCTTTGAGAGATCAATTTTCTGATGCTACTGTGAATAAATCTTAAGTCCCTCAGGTAAAATAAATGATTTGTTTTGTGCCATTTCTGTTTATTTCTATGTAAACAGAAATCAAACTGATACCTAAGCTGTTACAAAGTAGAAGTTTAAGATGGTATCAAACACACTTCCTTTAACATAATTAAGGGCCGCTGCGGGGCGTAAAATCAAACAGAAAGCTGTTTTGATAAAAGGAAGACTTCTGTCTGCTTTCATCTTCTATCATCATAAAGTTGTTTTTCAAGATGCTGAACTCAGCTGCTGTGTAAGAACATTGGTTTGGATGTTTTAGTGAAGGGTCTATGTTTTTAATATTTGATAAATGCACATGGGACACATACAGTAGGTCTGCATTTGAATATCTGAGGCAAGAACACAGAAACTAAACATTTTAATCAGCTCAGTCTTAAATATATAGTTTGAGAAGTCCGTTCGTAGGGAAAATATCACAGAAACCAACATTGGAACCTTTAATCCAGGGATAGGCAACTGACGGCCCGCAGGCCAGACCTGGCCTGCGGGTGACTTCATGGTTTCTTGATTTTTTTTTACTTAAAAAGCACTCAAAGCAGATC